TTCAGGAAGGTAGCCATTCTCACTCCTCACTCATCCTCTCCAGGTGGCAATTTGGACGCCCGGGAAGACCCTCTTCCCCCTGAGCCTCCGCCTCCGCCGGACCCCACACCTCGAGTGCCCTCTAACGCGAGATCTCCTCTGGTGGCTAATTCTCGCCCCGCGGCGTCCCCCAGCCACGGTGGTGGGCGCGGTGGGGGCTCCGCCCCCTGGGCGTCCACGTGGGACTCTGGTGCCGCCCCTCCCGCCCCAACTGCGTCCGAGGGGGCGTGGCCTCTGCGAGTCACTCTGCTCCAGTCCAGCTTTTGAGCCGCCCAGACGCGTCAGCCCCTCAGAGCGCAGGGTGTGGCCTGGAGGTACCGCCCGGAGATCTACAGCCAATCAGGGCGTGCGGGGGCGTGGCCTGGTTCCCTCCGGTGGCTAGGAGAGGCGTGGTTTCCACAGCACTTGATATTGCCAACATTGTGCAAGCTTGAATTAAAACTTTGAACTTTTGGTGAACAGCTTTTATTTACTTATTTTTTGGTCTGTTTGGAGTTTTAACACTGCGTATGTGAAGGAACAAAACTGGAGTCTGGATTGCTGGGTTCTGAGGGAGGAAAGCGCTGAGGGCTCCCACTCTTGGGTCTGGAGAAAGGGAGAACCCCACTCCTAGATCAAATGAGGGAAGAAGCTGGGGCCTGGACTCCCGGGTCTAGGGGAGGAGGGGCCGGGGCTGGACTCCCGGGTCTGAGGGAGGAGGAGCTGAGGCCTAGACTCCCGGGTCTGGGGGAGGAGGAGGAGGAGGCTGGGGGCCCTGGACTCCTGGGTCTGAGGGAGGAGGAGCTGAGAGTCTGTTGGCCGACGGGGTTGGGGTCCAACTTCCAGATCTGAAGCTTGCCTGGCACCGCCTCCGGGGCCGGGCTTCCAGGATCCGCCTCTATTTAGGACTTGACCCGAAGGCCTTGGGGGACTTTGGAGGTGGAACGAGGCCCGGAGGGAGAGACTGGCTGACCCAGAATGGCCACAGGGACGCGCTACGCCGAGAAGGTGGTCATCGTGACTGGGGGCGCGCGCGGCATCGGAGCGGGGATCGTGCGTGCCTTCAGTGAGTAGGGGTCTGGGTGCTTGGATTTGGGGTTCCAAGAGAGGAAGAGAAAGGAACAAAAACCAAGCCTGCTGCCATGGAGTCGATTCCGACTCCGAGCGATCCTACAGAGCAGAGTGCACCTGCCCCACAGGGTTTCCAAGCCTGTAAATCTTTACGGAAGCGGACTGCCTCTTCTTTCTCCCGTGGAGTGAGCGGCTGGTGGATTCGAACCGCTGACCTTCTGGTTAGCAGCTGAATGAGGAGGAGCCCTGGGGGGCTAATGGGAGTGGGAGAAAGGGACTCCAGTACCGAAATAAAAATTCTTATCTTCTGAAAAGCCAATTTGCATACTAAGGAGGGGCTTTACAGTGTGGCCTGAGGCCTGATTTTTGAGAAATTAACGATATCTAAAGGCAGTTATGGGAGCTCTGTTGGCGCAGTGCCTAAGGCATTTGACTACTAAGCAGAAGGCTGGTTGTTCAAACCCACCAGCCACTCCTCAGAAGGAAGATTAGGCGATCTACTTCTATCATGATACTGCCTTAGAAACCCAAGGAGGGGTCGCTATGAGTTGGGATCCACTCGACGGCAGTGAGTTTGGTTTGGTTTTTGGAAAGTCAGTTCCTCCCCCTTGGATCTCAGGTATTAGGGCTGTAAAATGGGTGGTTTGGGAAGTATGACCCCTGTGGGTTTCACCTTGACCCTGGAAGCCAGCGACGGGGGG